AGCGCGCGGCCCTGCTAGTCGCGCGCATTAAGAGGGACAAGGAAAGTCAGCCGGAGCCAACTGTTAAGCTACCTATTTCAGGTTCTGCGTCTCCACCTCCTCCACCACAGTCGGTCCCGAATGCTGTCGCACGTGACGTCATCGCCCAGTTAAGACTTCAGAGAGAGAGAGCTCTGGCGGCACAAGCAGAAGAAGAGACAAAGGCTCGAAAAAAGGTAATTATGTCCATAAGTCTGTTTTTCGAGTGCACTAGGCAAGAAATCTATGTATACTAGTTTCGCTTTTCTTTTCACAATATGTTGAAATTCACCGACCTCATGAAAACGAACTTACGTCACCCACCTTCAGGGTTTGTTGATAAAGTCGAACAGACGTTATTTGCGACTCCTCTCTAAGCTTGCTTTTATGACTGAAATAATTTTGCGTTTTCAGAAATATGCCAAGTGCCCACCCAGCGCTTACGCCCTTGGCAGCTACGACCGTGACTCCCTAAATGAAAATGGCGGAGATGGCAGGAAGAGGCCTCGCCGAACATCACCGTCATCCCGTACATCTCCAATCTCTCTGGCCGACCAAGCAATCCTGTCTTCCTCGCGACCTCGTCGACGGTCGCGTTCGCGATCGTCCTCCTCACCGTCTAGTCATCATCGAAAAGCAAATAAGAGTCCCCGCCATCACAAGAAGAGCAAGCACCGCCGACACCGCTCATAGCAGTTGCACAAACTGCTCCGTTTTTGAGATAACTTTTTCGGATTCCGAACTTCTTACAACATAGTCCTCATGTATAGTCACCTGGACCGTTTAACTTCAATATGTATATGACCGTCTTCACTTCCTGACTACTTTGTTCGTGTGAATACTCTCACGGATCTCTGTCCATACTTAGGATGCCTCGGATTTCGAAATGTAGGAGAGGATTTTTCGGCATAATCGTAGACAAACTCTACGAACTACCTTAGATGCTGAATGCTCCTGTCAGTTTTAGTTACTTAGTTACTGCCGAATTCACACAGGTACTGCAGATACAGCGAATTAAAAACACAGTGGAGGATGGTGAGAAAAAAAGCAAGTACATTTTGTAACTGACCTGCAAACCAAAAACTTTCTAAGTAATTTAGTTGCATGGGGCGCAATGTGAGCAATAGGTGCAAATTGAAAAGGGAGATTAAAGTGAGTTCGCATTGCACATTACGTGCGTGTCGAGGTAAACAAGGCGGAAGAGGCGTCCGCGCCAGTAGTGTACTTAAACAAACGAGCACCAATAGTGCTGTGATTGATTGGAACTGCCTAAATCAAAATAAGACGTGTAGGGGGAGGGAGGGAGGAAGGAAGGGATGAGGGTGCCGAACGGTAGCAATAGGCAGAGGTCAGAGAAGTATCGGTGGCGACAGCCATGTCAGGTTTTTGCAGATAAGGGCAGTGTGTGTTGTACCTGTGCAGCACGGTCTGGTGAGGCAGTTTTTCCATGAGAATCACTGGACCTCTTCAAGAGATTTTGTGTTTCAGATAGCCTGCAAGAAAAATCGTTCACATGGTCAGAACCAGCAGCAAACAAACTGTTAGAATGAAGTAGTGTTTATTCACGGTTCGGCGCATTTTCCTCACTATAAACAATTTGACACGCTCGAAGTTATCACAGTGCGCTAAAAGCCGTGGCTTGAAACGTCTTGCTTGGGCCTCGCGGTCAGCCCAGTGCGGT